AAATACTCACATTTTTTTTTGTATTCTCATATGTTGAAATAGTGTAACTTGAAAATTTTCAATTTTCAATCTCTTTCTCTCAATGATATTTTAATCCCTTTTAATCCCTTCTCATTGATCTCAGATAAAGATCTCACTTTAAATCTCAATTAATGTGAAAATACTGTCACCACATGTTTATCACAATTTTTAAAAATTATGGTAGGGATTTAATTAAGAACATTAAAAAACAAAAATTAATATGAATTTCTAAAAATTTTGTGAGGACCAAATTAAATATTTTAAAAATTTTAAAGGTCTAAACTATAAATTTTCAAATTTTTGGGATCCCATAGCACCTGCTAGTCTCCATTATCCTCTGCGAACATTGTTAACAATGAAAGCTCAAGTAACCTACAATTTCTAGTGTTGGAATTTAAAACTTTTAGAAATAACAATTATTCTTTTAATCAATGAAATAAATTGATTCGTACAATAAAAATGACGAGTTAAATACTCACATTTTTTTTTGTATTTCTCATATGTTGAAATAGTGTAACTTGAAAATTTTCAATCTCTTTCTCATCAATGATATAATTACCCTTTTAATCCCTTCTCATTTGATCTCAGATAAAAGATCTCACTTTAAATCTCAATTAAATTTAATTCTCTCTTATAATTTATATATATCACGGGAAAACTTCATATATTAACTAAAAAATGAGTCATAACATGAAAAGTTAGATAACTCGTGACCATTAAAACTTTTTGTCTAAAAATATCACTTCTATGTGAAAAATACTGTCACCACATGTTTATCACATTTTCAATAGGCTGACAACAAGTTTGATCACTTCTAAATACATGTTTTCTTCAATTAAACACTTGTTTAAGGGGATTACATTAGGCTTTATAAGCTTTATCCATCTATCATACTCTTTCAAGACACCACTTAAACACTAAGGGTCCATTTGGTTCTAGAAACTAGAAAGTATAACTTATTTTTTATTTTCATCTATTTAGAAAATAGAAAACGTTGAATAAAACGTGTTTGGTTGCGTAATTAGAAACTGAAAACAAAAATAAGTAAAAATACAAAAACATGAAGAAAAAAATGTTTTCACTGTTTTCATTAAATTTGTTCTGAAAATTTGAAAGATAGAAACACACAGGATTTAAAATTTTAATTTAACTTACATGTATTCAAATCCTTCTAACAATAATTATTTAACTTGGTGATATCTGAAACCCTCAAACTTAAAAAATGGTCCCTAAACCTTTTTTACACTCAATTGGATCTTAAAAATAATTTATTTTATTAATTTAGTTTTTAGCATTTTATATTCAATATATTCAATATCTTAATAATTGTTTATATTTACTTTTAAATTTTAAATATGTTTTATTTTTAAAAAAAAAATAATTAAGTCCTTAAACTTTCTAAAATAATTAATTAGCCCTCGAACTTAGCCAAAAAATCGATTAAGTTCATCTACCACATCATCATACCACAATAGTGTCGTGAATAATCACATCAGTATTGTATATTTTCATGTAAGCTTTGTAAATTGTCATGTAAGCATCATAACAATCAAGTTTGATTCCGTTAGTCAAAGGTTAGATTGATATTTTTTCAATTTAAGGGACATATTGACTATAAAAAAAGTTAATAGTCACACTAGTTTTTCCCCAAAAATTTGAGGACCTTAAAATACAACTAAACATATATATATAATTTTAATGACACTTCTCTTGTTGTTAAACCAACATTTGATTTTGATATAACGTGAATTTTTAAATGTTCTAATTTGTTAAAATTTACATTTTACGATTTTATAAAAAAAATTATCATAAACTATTATCAATCATTCTTTATTGTGAAAAATAGTAATAAGCGTTCTTAAGTAATTACATATTTTGCAAATATTGTTTTAAAGCTCAAAGCACTCTATGTTAGCAAAATACCCCTTTTAGTCCCGATACCAACTTTTCGATAGGCTTTTCTAGTATCAATACCAAGGTGTTGGTATCGATAGTGATAGGTGAATATCGATATTCACATGAGTTGTATCTATATTGAGGGTTCAACAACTATAATTTAAATTGTTATGATGCTTAGTTTCGATACCCACTACTTGGTATTGATACCAAAGGTGCATGTGAGCATTAAATACTTAAAATTAATGAATCCAACACCTCTAATCAAGCACTAACGACTTCGAAAGGTTAAAAGGTTATTAGAATATAAAAAAGATACCAAGATTCAAATGGAGAACAACAAGATAATTTACTGCAATATCAAACCAACATCAAAAGAGTTTTAGAGCTAACCAAGATTCAAATGGATAACAACAAGAAAGATTATTGCAATATCAAACCAACGTCAAAAGAGTTTTAGAGCTAAAATTATCATATTCTTTGTAACACACTTGTGAGTTTTTTTTGTTTATTTTACTCAAGTGTGATTTAGGTGAGAGCTAAATTATTGCAAACAAATTAGCTTTGTGAGATTCTATTTGTTTGCTTTATTTATAATTCATCTTGTGGAAAAAATATAAACAAATTTTTGGGTATAAACTTGTGAGTTGTTGTAAGGTTACACATTGTCCTTAAATGTTAGCAAATCTAGTGTATGCTAAGGTAGTGAATATAAACTTGGTTTAGAAGTTGAATCACTCTAAATTCCTTGTGCAAAATTTTTATTTTTGATTGTTTCCACCACAACTTTTTTAAAGGTCAATTCACCCACATATTTGTTTTGATCGATAAAGCTTACATTTCTTTACAACAATATTTTGTGCGTGTGCTTTTTCAATTTAATTAATGTCCAATATTAATTGACGTTATATTATTATTATAAACTAAATAATTTTTGTGTTATAAATTCTTTATCAACTTATTATTTTATATATCTCACATTAAATTTATGTAATATTTTTTAATAATTATATTTTAATATAATTATCATCTCTATTCTAAAAAAATAGATATAAAATATACTTTAACTATTATTATTTTTGAAAGCAATGTCTTCATCTATATTAACCAAACATATTTTTTAATTTTTAAAAAACTGAAAATAAAAATTATTTTCTAAAAGTAAAAACTAAAATAGAAAACATTTTTTTGAACCAAACAAAAATTCAATTTATAATCTTTTATTCCTCTCATGAACTTTATAATCTTATTTACACACTATTTACATGATTTTTACTATAATTATCAGAATCATCGTTAATTTTTTTTCATTATTTTACAGTACTGGATAACAATTGTTTGATCATCAACTACGATCTTCTATTCAAATCAAAAAGGATAAATTGTTACCTAGTCCATTTATTTTATTACCAACATTGTATATCAAGTATTTTTTAAAATAAAATTTTAAAAGAATATTCTATAAAAGAAAACTCTTTTTTATTATGAAAAGGAGGTAAAACATTTTGAGCCGTTAATAATGAGGTTGGATCAATAATGAAATGCCTACAATCATACAATGATGTTAAAGTTATTCCATATAAATCCAATCAAATCTCCCAAAGAATACGAATCTGTGCATTTGGTCTACAAATCAGTGTAAATGAACACCATCCTTCTATACATATAAATGGAAAGTGGGTCGAAAATATTATATAAAATATTATAAAGATAAAATAATAATTTTAAAAACATCTAAAAGAATGTAAGTTCGATATATAATATATTTAAGCACACAATATCATCTAATTTAAAATTTTGGATAAAATAATAATTTTAAAAAGTGGTAAATTTATATTTTATCCCTGAATTATTTTGGGTTTATAAAAAGACCTATGGTTATTAATTTATTCTTGAAATAAAAGTGATCATTTGAAACAAAAGTGATCATTTGAAACAAAATAGGTTAACTACAGCCTTAGTCCCTGAAGTCTCTTAAAATTACAAGATTGAAAACTTTTAGGGTTTAATGACCAAAATAGAAGAGAAGAAAATAGTTCGGTGATGAATGGTGTAAATTACCCAATTTATAACCGCGTGAATTAACGAAACGGTCAGTCAATGACGGAAAATATTGGTCAAATGGACACATTGAATTCTTTTTTCGAGTGAGTGGGAGTACTACATTAATCCTAAAAATAGGATAATGCCCACATTAGTTGTTCTGAAAGTTCAGGGACCTCGGATGTATTTTTGCTTTTTTTATTAATGCCTATATCATCAAGACCTCTTACTACTCATGAATGATATAACATAATATTCTTAAAAATATATCAAATAATATTATATTTGACAAAATTCATTTTTTTATATAATCAATTCATATTTTTCCTTAAAGAAAAAGTGTGTACCAGCTTTGTTAATTTGTTTCACCGTCGCAATCTGGACACGACTCACTTGGACAGTGAGACCGTAAGAGTACTTTGAAAATGATTTATTTATTAGTAGTGCATCAAATTTGTCCAAACTACCCTTTGATTTGACATGACATGTTCAATATGTGTAGGGCAAATCTGCCTTTCAAAATTGGTAGGCCCTGGGATTTCTTGTTCTTCCAAAAACCTTTAAATATAAGCTCTCAAAGCATTAGGACATAAAAACATGTTAAATTATTATTAATAATCACTTGATTTTCATGTCCCCCAAAACATTTTGTCTTGGTGCGGTGCCCATGGCTGACTTCGCCCTGAAGAAAAAACATATTGTGAGTTAGTAGCCGACCCGAAAATGGATCCGAAAACAATTCGTCTTTAATTTTGTATCGTATAATCATATCATACATAAAATTATCGATTTTATCGTATAATTTCATTTTAATCGAACAATGATCGAACTGAATTCGAATGAATGGAATTTTAGTTGGATTTTAATATTTTTACAAAGCAAACCAATGTGTATTTTCATCTGTGGGCTCTGAATGATATCTCCCAACGTCAAGTTTTTCGCATTACCATCATGCATGTCAATGGCTTAATGGGGAATGAAACCGTAAAGAACAAACACTTTTCAACATGTATAAGTATTGTTTGCACATCTTTGTTTTTTTAGCCTTTGAAGCAGTAAAAATTTTGGTAATTTGCCGATTTTCGAATCTCTTTCATGTCGATGAATTTCTGAAACTCCCTCTGATTACCAAGAGCATCATCAAGTGCCTGCACATGGAAAGATAGCAAACAAAAAAAAGTTATGTATGTGTGTGTATGTATGTGTGTGTGTATGTGTGTGTATGCACCTTCTTAGCTTCGGATAGTTCTTTTTCAAGGATGCAGACTCTTCTTAGAGCAGCGTTCAACATCTCTTCTTTGTCGGGCGGCATGACAGATGGTTTTGTGCCGAGGAGGACCACTTTTTCTTCGAGTTCGGCCATGCGTTTTGCCATGGCGAAGAATTCCTCGTCAGTGATCGGGGGTGGCAACTGAGAGGCAGGGCCCGTAACTTGCTTAGCACGGTAAACTTGATCACCACCATACACGGGGTCTTCAATTTGTTTCTTCGGCATGCGACGGGACATTCGAATCAGGGTTATGATTCTTATCACGAACGCCATGATTCGTCCGAAAATGCCGCTTCCCGTTCCTTCACTAGATTTTCTACCATTGTGCACCTGGTATATATCTGCATTTGAAATCCTTTTCTTACCTCCAAAATTCGGTCTTCGATCTACTCATCAATGTTAATGAAAAATGGAAATAATGTGTTGGGAATTAACCTTTCGAGACAACGAACTTTTCGTTTTCCACCGGTTTAGGCCAAGAAGCATCAACACCCTTGTCAACTATAGGAATATGTTGATCATAGTCATAGGATTCATGGTACATTTTCTTGATCAGAGTCTGCAATATATAAACACATGTACTTGTTATGAGGTTGCTTTACAGATTAGAGGCCTAGACGTCGAACTTACTCCTCGAACCGGAGACGATGAAGGATTCTCTGCGCTGTCCATCGCTATTTCTTTGTCGGAGGAATGGAGCTTCATGGTCCACAACATCAAAACCGTATGTTAGGCATTCAATTTGTAGGAACTAGATATTAAGGCTAGTGTTGCAGTGGCTCGGGTATAAGTGATCGATGATAAATTACCTCTCGGCATGCTTTCTCATCGATGATGCCCGACAGAGTACTCCATCTGCTCTTGGCCTCGCCAGTTTCGACTCTCTGCTCATCAATGTGAAAGTTGTTTCATTTCGTTATTCCAACGACGATGCAAATATATTATCCCGAAAATCAATTGATCAATCATGGATGAACACCTTTAGTATTTCCGGATCGTTCCACGGACCCTTATCAGAAACCATGCAACCTCCTTTGTCTGCACAATTGCAGGTACCACCAAAAAACTCAGGCAGTTCACTGTTAAAGATCACAAAAAGATTCTTGGAGGATCATATTGCTGTATGAATACATCTATGTTTAGATTGCATTGGAAACAAGAGCGGTTCAACGCATACTTTACCGAAATGACAGATCAATCGGTCGAGACAGACTTACCTAGCGTCAATAACTTCCAGCAATTTACTTTGGTAATCGTTGCCCAAAACCTGATGTTTTAACAAACAATATGGTATCAAAAGCAAATCTATTTTCATCAAGGAACTGGTGATTTATGCTTACATGGATTTTCGTCGTGGTGTTCGGGTCAAGGAACGATTTAACAGTGCTCCATAACAGCCTAAATCCAGAACCGGCATTGATGATATAGATGTTATTAAGAGTCTGCAATGTATATAAGCATTCAATTAACTCGGGATTAACACGATGTAGGTGTATGATTAACCCGATGGCGAAAGTTTCATCTTGACATAGCAGGCTTCCGTGGATCATATAGCAGGCTTCCGTGGATCATATGGCATGTTAAACAGAGTGCTTATGATCAAATGACTTACCTCGGGGTAATTGTCACCATCGATCTTCTGAAGGCGCTGAAGGAGCTCTTTCCCGGCCTTGTTGACGATGATGCTTCTCGAAATGCAGCCACCGATTGTATCCCTTTAGCATCGAGGACATCTTTGATACGATCGGCCAACATTCGACCTTGTCGGTCGACAGCCAAAGACGAAGTGTCAGCCATGAGTTACAACAACCACCACCACCGTGCAGTGTCGTTCAACACCTGATTAAAAAAAAAAGAAGGGTTAGCCTCAGATTTTCACGTCTGCAAATGTGGAAACATCAAACACATAATTATGATGAATTGATGATGACCATCATACCATACATAAAACCTACCATAGATGAAGATTGAATGAGAGAAAATATAGTGAGAAAAATGGGAGAAATGTTTACCAGCATGTGTTGAGAGGAAGAGGGTGCATGGGATGATAACAGAGAAACCGAATAAATCTCTTTGAATAGATATTTGTCTGGACAATCAAAACGGCCATTGATTTTATATTGCTCTGAGTTAAATTTTGCAGATTTAGTAAAGAGTTTTGTTTTGAGTTTTTGTTAAAAATGGTGAGAGAGTTTGGCGATTTGCATGGCTTTTCGTTGATTCTTTTCCATCTTTTAACCAACTTGTCAACTGAATTCAACAAGCAGATTTTGCTGACAACATGTTCTTTTTTTTTACATCTATTATAGGGTACAAATTGAATTGATAATCGAACCTTAATAAAAACGGACAATAACTCACAGAAGATGTCTCGCCAATCCATAGATTTAACCCTACATAATAACCTTCACAGATTTTATAGGGGGGAAAAAGATTTAACTGCATCAAATGTCCTCAAACCATGATTCTTGTTCTAAACCAATCTCTAAACTTGTAGACAGTTCAATTTCAACCTTAAACTATGATTATAACTCTAAATTAATCCTTAAACTTTTGAACATTTTAATTTTATCCCTAAACTATGGCCTTCAATCTAAACTAGTCCCCAAACTTTTTGAGCATTTGGATTCACCTCAAACTATACGTGTATACTAATCACATATCTCGTTAATAAAACCATTAGGCTACGTTAACTAAAAAAAATTGGAAGGCTTTTAACCATTATGCCTTCAATGTTTTACATTATACATGTAATATAGAAATATACATGTAAAAATTAGTTAATGGGAAAATAATACATATAATTTAATAATATTAAATTGAAAATCTTTATTACATAAAAAGTATGCAGCAATATTGAACATAGTGAACCAAATATAAATGTAACCAACATTCTTTTTCAACATTGATACAAACAATAGCAGCCATGGATGAAACAAGTTTATTTTTTAAAATTTCCAGTTCTTAATACAAAATGTGCAAAGTTATGACCAGCAGTCATTTCAACGGCAAAAAGAATCGAAAGAAAAGAAACCAAAAATGTATGATACAACCATTGCTCTCTTGTGTATATGCTATAAAACTACGTGCAAGGTGTATTGCTTTATCTTCTGGTTCAAGTACAAAAGAAAAAATGGGATGGCAAGAATTATCCCTGTAATGATCTAATCAATTCCGATACGACAGATCGGATTACGTTTGATGAGGCTAAGATCGACCTGCAATAACGACCACACTTTTATGAGTAAATTCCATCGGAAAAGAGCCACTCCATGGAAAGAAGAAAACATGTTGGCATATGTATTAGTACCTTGTGTCCGAAAAGATCCCTAATGTTATCGATCCCATAGAGTATCATAGTCGGCCTACATCAATGCGAACAAATAAGAAATCTCAAAATATAGTTCAAGTTATACTCTGGAAAAAGTCGAAAAGATGACATTGAAAATATTTCATTCCGAACCTTCTTTGGAAAAGAGGACTAATATTTACCTTTCAAGTGAAAGACCCCAAGCAATGACACGAACATCCTCGGGGAATCCCATTGGAAGCAACATTTCAGGTCTGAACATGCCGGAATTTCCAATTTCCACCCATTTCTTCAAGCCTTCATGATAACTGATAAAAACGAAAATAATCAATCAAATCTATGTTTACCAAACAAGTAATAAACTCGTTCCGAGAAATATGTGATGCATCACCTGAATATCTCCATGCTAGGTTCAGTATATGGGTTGTAAGCAGGCTTGAAACGCAACTTGGACATTCCTGAAAGAGATTATAGAGAAAATATTAACTTTGATTGCATTACTCTCAGTTTTGCCGTCATTGCCATTCCTAAGACGGTTCTTGTAGCAAATAAACCAACTGTTTATTATCCAGAAACACTACAGGCTTCAATATCTTGAAGCGTAAAAAACAAAACGCTTAGTCCTATTTATTCAACAACCCTCCTAGGGAATTCTATTTGCTGTAGAATGATTATGATGATCATTACCTAGTCGCGAGAAAAAGTCATTCAGAACACCGATCAAATCACCAAGAGTAAGCCCGCGATCACAAACTAAACCTAAAGCAAAAGAGATAATTTCCATATGTTCAGTGAGTCATTAGATGCGTTCCAAATAAAGACATTAATCAGCTATTAGTGCAATAGATATCGGTCCCAGCTTGGACCCGGTTAACATGATCAGAAGCTGGACTTGAGTAAACAAAACTAGTGCAGATGCACACAGCTTATAAATACCTTCAATTTGATGAAACTCTGCAAGATGAGTTCGGTCCACAGATTCATTTCTGAACACACGATCTATAGAGAAATATCTTTTGGGGGCAAACGGTTGCTGAAGATGAAATCATAAAGCATATGAGCATTAAAGCTCACAGGTTTAATAATGATGTAACCAACATCAGCAACAAGCCAACAACTACTAACTATTAAGATTTAAGACGGCATAAAAGAATGTGTGCACTACCATTGAGCAGTATACACAAGTTTAAAAAACCAAATTAAAAGTTTTTGAGAAAAACTTAAGATAATAAGGGTTGAATTTAGGAAAAACAGCCAGCTGAACGTTGTTTCTAATCACAGAGATGGATGAATATAATGAAGACTATCATACCTTTGCTAGAGCATAAAGCATTCTAGTAGAGACAGCAGTCGTATGAGTACGCAGCAGGTTTTTGTTTGCTTCCTCTCTTTTCCAGTCGTACATATATCTTTTGGAACATGAGTACACATATCAATCAATTAACTGATTTCATGGTTGTGAAATATGAAGGCAAGTACCAGAAAAAAATGAAAAAGAAAAATTGTATACCCCCTGGAGCCATAACCACCAGATTCATGAACACGCTTCACCAACTCAACATAATATTCGGGCAGCTCCCTTGTAGTGGATGGAGCTGCAGATGAATGCCCCAAATAAGTGGCCAAACAGAGAGTAGAAATGGCATCTGATGGTCATTTGGTCAGTTGAAACATACCTTCCAGAAAGAATGTATCATGTGAATCACGTGCAGGGTGTTGTTGCGGCTGGAACAATGCATCAAAGTTCCAGAAGCTACAAGTGGAAACATATATAGGAAACAGACTTTAGTCACAAACTTATTCTGGTCCACCATGAAGGGAAGAATTAGTAGAATGTAAACGTAGGATTTCAGGTTCTTTCCAATGAATTGTTTTAAGGAAACTAGAGGCATGCATATGTTCTTTTCTCAGGTTTCCTTAAAATGTATATGTTGCTTTCTCAAAGAAGCTCCACATGCAGCCAAATATCACAGAGACGTCAGCATACAAGAGAAAGAGTTGGCCATATCAACTACCTGCTTTCAACGAAATTGTTTGTTGGCATCTCCTCAAAACTGCAGTCGGCACAAAAATGAAAATATGTATTAATGTCAAAGGATTCAAGGTTGAAAATCCAATCCAGCAAAAACAATCCCAAACTCACAAGAGAAAGAAAGAGGTGACTGAACTTGATATTAAAACAACAACAACAACAACAATAATATGGCATAATTTGTGGTGATGCTTAGTAGCATGCTTTTGGTCATCATAAAACATAACAAGATCAAGGCCGGGAAGTGAGTGTTCCATATGCAATACGAGTTGATGTCCATCAGTAACTTTCACAGCACCAACGTAGCCATGTAAAATAAAGTATAAAAAAGGAATCCGAATGTACAAGTAAGATTTGTTAGCTCAAAACTCACCCCATTTGAAGAAATATGTTCTTCAATTGTTGTTTCACCTGAATATAAAATAAGGAACGGAAATGTTAATTCTACAACAAACAAGCAGGTGCCTAAGCAATCAAAAGTTACAGATTCAATCAAATAAAAGGCACGGGAAAACAACTTTTGAAGAGAACCATTTGCATTATATTGTACATAATATACGATGTTCACACATTGAAATATAGGTAGTGTTTGTTTTTCTAAAAAAAGGTCTTCAAAGATCTTATGTTTGTTCCGCGCAAACACTGGACTTCGTATACCGTTTGTTTTTTAGAAGACAATAGCTCTGAAAACGTCTGAGCGTCCTTTTCTTGGCGCAAACGTAGCCTTGTGTCTTCAAAACTATTCCAACCTCTTCAAAGAAGATTAAAAACAAAAACCCTCGCCTAAAAATATAATTCTACACCATATTGAGAATATATGACTCAGCTACGAGATGAAATTACTGAGCAATTAATGCAAAATATTAATCGATTTATTTTAAAAAAATTATTATTGTAGTTGTATGGATTATTTAAATTTCAGTATTGTAAAACTAAAATTATTTAAATTTCAGTATTACAAAACTCTTTTAAGTTTAAAAAAATTAGTTTATTTATATTTCAGTTTATTTTAACAGTCTGCAGGCGTTAAAAAACAAATTGTATTCTTCTTGCAGACTGCAGACTTTTGGTCCACCTCTTCTGCTGCAGATACCTGCAGATGTGATCCACAGACTACGGACCTTTTACCTCTGCAAAAACAAATAGCACCATAGGTTCCACAAAGAATAACCACAATGTCTTCACTCAGACCAAATGAAGTTGATAAATATATAGACATATCCTTGCCTTGAGCAATGGATGAAGATGGCCAGCTTCAGCAGGCGGTCCTTTAGCATTGAAGTTATACTCTTTGAACTCCAATTCCTTCCAGTCAGCCCTAAAAGAAAGCAACCATGTATAAATATGGGTTCAATAAAATCTCTCTGGAGAAAATCACAATAGCTAAATAATAAGACAAAAAATTAAGGGATTCAACTTCATCAACAAAATTCTAACTTCACAAGCATATTTATCACTTCTATGGGATACCTCTGTAGATTCTCTCGAGTCAGATCAGTAGCTACTTTCTTTCTTTTAGGGGCATAGTTGGGCCCTTTTCTCACTGAGTAACCTTTCCATATCCTAAAACAAGATGAAATTGGGACACTATCAGTAATGTGAACAAAATACACATATACCGAAAGAAAATTGAAAAAGAATGAGGCAAGGGACTAGATGATCACTGTGCAACGATAAGCTTCCTTGCTTTAAGTGAAGTAACATCATCTTTGCCGATTTCCTGGAGTAAAAGAAATCAACTTTAATCACTGAATAGACGGGAATAAGAAAAATTAAATCCTTCATACAATAAGCTTAAAGCAAAACAGAAAGAGACTGGCAACTTATTAAAAGGGTTAAATACCTCTCCATTTTGTACTCTAATAAGTAAATCTTTGACCTTGTCTTCAACATGTTGAACCTAAAACAAAGCAAAAACAACACTGACAACTAACATATTCACATAAAAAATGAGCAGATACATGAACATTAACCATGGAAACTATTACTTTTCTCGAAACTTGCTTTCCCATATCGACCCATTTGTTTTTCCCAGCTTGCGAGCACCCAATTTTGAAAACTGAAGGCTCCAGCTTTTTCTGCAACAAATGAAAGAACTTGGAAACCATAGATCCAAACAAAAAGTAAAATAAAAATAGCAACACTGACCTGCAACTCATCTTTAGAAATGGAACCTTCTTGAGGGATGGCTAAGAAGAGTTGAACTTCAGGGGAGCCTTCGGTGGCATATTTTTTGCCTTCGTCGGTGAGAACCCAGTTTTCTCTTTTGATGTCTTGAGCGTCGATGTAGCGGAAACCGTGGAGGCTTTTGATGACATTAACGGCGTCGTTGTGGTTGAGACCGTGTTCAACGGCGAATTGTCCTGAATCGGGGATCTCCTCGGCGGTGGCTAAGTAACCCAGTATTGCATCTTCCGCCATTGCTGCCGCCGGTAAGCGCTGAATCTGTGTGTGTGCGTTGCGTCTAGCTTGAACTATTTTTAGGGCAAAAATGGCAATAGGCAATAGCTGTGGGCTTCACTATGGGCTCTCTCTTGTTTTCTAATGGGTTATAATTGTGGCTTAGATCGGTTTAGTTTGATTAAACTTTTGGGTAAATTATATCTTTAATACCTCATCTATTTTTTATTCCATTCTACTCACTCACTATTTAAAAATAAATAAATAAAATTTAGTTACTAGCCTAGGGATGAATCCTAAACCTTACATTTAAAATTAAACTGACATAATTTTTATCACTACATCAATGGTGGCATCGGATATTATAATTATTAAGAAAACTACAACAATAATTTTAGAAAAAGAAACATGATTTAATATTTTTTTAAAAATATTTCGTTTGATTCTAGAAAATGTTTTCTATTTTTATTTTCCTTTTTTGGTTTTAGAAATTATTTTTCATTTTTAGTTTTCTGAAAATTAGAGAACATGTTTAGTTAATATAAATGGAAACTTGTATCTAAAAATAAAACAATAAAAAGTTATTTGGTATCTAATTTTTAAAAATAGAAATAAATAAATAAATAGTTATTAAAAAGAGAAAATAACCTCAGTGATAAAAAATGCCTTATAATATAGGATTTTAACCAACTTTTTTTGGATTTGCCAAAATGACCAACTAAATCGCAACGCGAACTTCGACTATCGCAATGCGAATATGTAAATCGCAACGACTGGTGCGGACGTGTCGAAGACACGTATTACCACGACCCGACCCGACCCGACCCGACCCGACCCGACCACGACACGACACGACACGACCCGACCCGACCCGACCCGACCCGAGATGGACGGCGGCGGCGCGCGAGAGTCCCCCTTGTTCTCTATCACTCAACAAGGAAGTGGGAAAGCCAAGCCTTAAATACCATTCCCAATAGTGTTTCCAATACTATGTGGGATTGAGCATTACCAACACTTGTTTCCAATACAATGTGATTATTCAGGAAACAATTAACAATCATGCACCTTAAAACAACTGAATCAGCAACCAATTGCATTAGTATTATACGATTAAATTTGTCATAATTAAATGTCAATCTACAATCAATCGCGATTATTGCAATTTTAAGCAAAACATTCAAAAATAATATCACTATTTAAGGCTCAATCCCACATAGTATTAGGAACAAGTGTTGGTAATGCTCAATCCCACATAGTATTGGAAACACTATTGGGAATGGTATTTAAGGCTTGGCTTTCCCACTTCCTTGTTGAGTGATAGAGAACAAGGGGGACTCTCGCGCGTCGCCGCCGCCGCCGTCCGTCTCGTCTCGGGTCGGGTCGGGTCGTGGTAATACGTGTCTTCGACACGTCCGTGCGAATACTATCTTTTTAGAGAAAATTCTTAAGAAACAAATGCAATACCGTCGTTGCGATTTTGGACTATCGCAATGAACTTGGAATAAATCGCAACGCGAACTTGTAATAAATCGCAACGTGAATTTGGAATAAATCGCAACGCGAACTTCGACTACCGCAACGCGAACCTCGACTATCGCAACGAACTTGGAATAAATCGCAACGAATTTGGAATAAATCGCAACGCGAACTTCGACTATCGCAACAAACTTGGAATAAATCGCAACGCGAACTTGGACTATCGCAATGCGATAGTCGAAGTTCGCGTTGCGAATCTGGAAACTGATTTGCGATATCGGAGATCGCGTTGCGAATTATCGATCGCATTGCGATTTAGTTGGTCATTTGGCAAATCCAAAAAAAGTTGGTTAAAATCGTATATTATAAGGCATTTTTTGTCACTGAGGTTATTTTCTCTATTAAAAATATAAATTAAATTATAATTATTAAAAAAATATCACATTGATTTAACATGTTGATAAGAAATTTCATAACATAAAATTTATTTTAATTTATAATAAGAATATAATGTTATTGTATATCGGATATCAATTAGATTTTTAAAAATACACAAAAGTATTGTTAAAAGCAATAACAAATAAAAGTGTCATTAAAATAAAAATATGTTTAATGGTAATTGAGGGCTTAAAACTTTTGGGAAAAATAATTAGTGTAGTCCCTAAACGTTTTTTTGCACTGAAAAAATTAATCTAACCATTTGATGAACGGAATCAAACGTTGATTGTCACGATGCTTAAATGATAGTTCACAAACTTACATGACAATCTAAAATATTGATGTGACAGTTTATGATACTGTTGTGGTGGTACACAATGGACGATGATGTGGTAGATGAGCTTAATTGATTTTTTGACTAAGTTTGATGGCGAAATTAATTTTTTAGAAAGTTTGAGGACTTATTTTTTTTAAAAACATAAAAATTATTTAAATTGAAAATATAAAATATATACAACTCAATACATTAGATATAAAAAATACTAAAATATTAATTTATTAAAAAAATAATTTAATGACTATATTGTGTAAAAAAAGTTCAAGGACCATATTTGTTTTTTGCAAAAGTTTGAGGGTTACATATTCCATTAAATCAAATAATTATTATCAGAAAAATTTGAACACATGTAAGTTAAGTTAAAAATTTAAATCTTATATTTTCTTATTTTTTAAAATTTTCAAAACAATTTAATGAAAATATTTTTTTGGTGAGAAAAAAGAGTTGAAACGCAACATCCACCCATCACCGAAACAGTAACCACAAGACTAAGACCAATAAACTAGAATCCTCCATCAAGACGTCGAGGATATCACTTGAAGGATAGTAAAACACCTGAGTTTCAATAACTTCCAGTCCAGCTTCCTTCAATAGTTTATCGACACTTCCATTACCTTGTCTCAATACATGAGTGAATCTTACCTCTCATTCACGAACAAGCAGGCAATAAATATGCTCAATTATTGTCAGCGAACTCATTTTCCTATTGTGCTCACTCAACATGTTAAAACCACGGATAAATTACCGCATTCAATAATCACCTTCCTCATACCGGTATTCCAAGCACAATAAAGGCTGACGTACACTCCCCAAAGTTTCGCTTCCAAAATCGAGCACAAGCCAAGATTTTTTTTAAAGCCAACTAGCCATTCTCTGGCATTATTGCAAATTACACCCTCACAAGAGGCCAATCCGTTAGCAACATTTCTTGATCCATCAGTGTTCACTTTGATCTAATGTTTAGGGGAGCTGTCCACACTGTACCACCCACCCTTCTTCGATTTACTCTTCTTTGCGCTTGTTCTTCTACCTTTGAAGCTTCCTGCTCCTTTGGATAATCTTCATATTATCCTTTATTGGATTATCAAAAACTATGAAATTTCTATAGCACTAAGTATTCCAAAGGATCGCGTCGAACAAAATATCCCACTCCTTGCTATCTTTGGGAAAATAACAAGCTTTACTCACATTGGTCTAAATCCACTTCTTGATCTCCATCGTCATGAACTCCTCAAGCTTATCTTCTTTTATGAGAAGCGTCCAAATGGGAATGATAGTAGTACACTTTCAGAAAATATGGTCGATGTCCTCCAAAAGACTTGCAGCACAGACAGCTTTCGCAATTAGTGAAATTACGTTTCGTCCTTTCAGCATTAGTCATCAGTTTGTTCCAGCTAAGCAACCATAAGAATACCTTGATACGTTGCAGCCCCTTGTACTGATTAATCACCTTCCAAACCGGGTCGTTCGCTTCTAGATTCGGCATCGAACGAACTTCATAAGCCGACTTGATTGTAAAATGCAAGTCATCACACCTCGACCACCCGTAATTATCCTCTTTGCCGCTAGGTATAGGACCTTTAATGGTCACAATTCTTAGGAGTATTTTAATGGGTAGTAAATGCTCGAAATCTTCCCACTTCCAAATGCCCACATCATTGGACATGTCTCTCACCGATGCTTCCGAACAATGTTTAATCAAAGGATCTAAATCGTATATCCACTTGTCCCTCCAAAAATCAATAATAACACTATTGCCCACTACGCGAGATATGTTGCTACAAATATCATTCCACATCATGCCAATGCCTTTTCAAAGCCTCAAACAATTTTGAACATGATCGTATGTTGGAATATCTCCCTTCCATTTATACTTCACCCTCAAGAACTGAACCCAAAGAGTGTCCCTCCTAGTTATAAGGTGAAACGCTAATTTCATACTAAATGCTTCATTTTGAGTCTCCAACTTCCTAAATCCCAAAACTCCATAATCAATGGGTTAGCACACATTGTCCTATTTCACTAAGGGTATTCCTCCACCACCAGAATCCTTACCCCAAACGAACGATCAAATCAATCGCTCCAACTCAAAACATACTTTATTGGGCAATAAGATTGTTTGCATAGAATAAGTTGGGATAGATGATAATACTGCCTTAGCAAGAGTGAAACGACTAGCCATAGAAAGAGTCTTCTCTTTCCACCCACTCAGCTTATTCTGAACCATATGAATCAAATATCGATAGGACGTCGAAGTAACCCGGGTGTGTAAAAATGGAACCCTCAAATACTTGACAAGATCCTCCACCACGGTGAAGCCAAACTCTCTACTTATTCTGTTCTTCAATATAAATATTACTAGAGAAGAAAATTATTGTTTTCTCCAAATTAATTGTGTCCCGAGACCGCACAGAATTGCTCAAGCAAATAGGCTCAAGTTGATCCGGCGATGCTTCAGCAGATAGAACCATATTATCAACAAAAAATAAGTGAGAAATGGCAGGCTATTCTTCCCCGTACAAAACGATTTCCACACCCCTGTTTATCTCAATTTGAATATCTTAAGCAAGTCTCTCCAAACACAGAACAAAAATATACGGAGATAACAATTCACCTTGTCTAATACCTCACGTGGGATAAAACACTTCCGTCATAAACCCATTCCAGATAATCTGAGTTGAAACCGAGGAGATGCAATGTAACACCCCCAACCTGTACCCGATCTGGATACGAATTTGAGGTGTCATATTGACTTTTCAAAACTTTGACTCTTTAAAAACTTGTTGAAAATTTAAACTTTTATTTGTATTTAAGTGGTGATACCCTTAAACCAAAATTAATATTGAAAATTC